GCACCTCCGGCTTTCGCGCTGACGATGCACTCTGGCACCAGCGCCTCGGACACCCTTCCCGCGCGACGCTGAAAAACTGCATCGACGCTGGCGTCTTCGCTCCTGGCGCACTCCTGCGCCCCGATGGCTCCGAAGTGAGTGGCACGACACACCCGCGCAACTGCACCGTCTGCCCCGAAGCTGCGCTGAGCCACCAACCGTTCCCGCTGCTCGAACCTGGAACGAACCGCTACCCCAAGCTGCACAAGGTGTACAGCGATTTCCTGAACGTGGGGCAATGCAGAGTCGAAGATGAGCTCTACACACTCACCTTCATCGACGCTGGAACGCGCTATGTGTGGGTCGTGAACGTGGAGTCGCGTGACAGAGCCTACGAGGTATTTCGCCTCTGGCTGCCGCATGCGGAGCGGCAATCTGGGAAGAAACTCAAAATCTGGCAATCTGACGGCGCAGCAGAATTCAGGAGCAACCAGATGCAGACGTTCCTGACGCAAAAGGGGATCGAGCATCACATCTCTCTCCCCTACGCGCACCAGCAGCAGGGCGTAGCTGAGCGGACGAATCGCACGCTGATGACAAAGGTGCGCGCGCTGATGAAGCAGTCGAAATTGCCGCCGATCTACTGGACTTACGCGATGCATCACGCCGTGCGGGTGCACAACCTCCTTTCAACGACTGCGATTACTGGCAACTTGTCTCCGCACGTCAAGTGGACAGGAACGAAGGGAGATACCTCCATGCTCCGCGTGTGGGGGTGCATGGTTCAATACCGCCCGCCGACATCGACGATCGGGATGTTCGCTAGCCGCGCGCGTTGGGGGATTCACCTCGGTATCAGCCACGAATACAAGGCCTAGACCGTGCTGGACCTCCTCAGCCAGAAGACCGCCCATGCTCGCGACGTAATCTTCTACGAGCGGCTCTTCCTCGACCAGTTCCGCCGCGACCAAGAAACGAACGCAAATCGCGTTTACGCCAACGACGGCCACAGCTATGCCACACTTGAAGACGAAGCTGCTGCAGCAATCCTGGAGCAGGACACAAGGGGAGAATTCACGTGGGAAGATCGGCGCAGCAGCGACAACGACGACGACGATAACTCCTCGGGAGGAGGAGTAGGCGGAACAGGCGGAAGCGGCGGAGGCGCAGCACCACCAGCACCACCTGAACCTGAAAGCGACGACGACGACGTGCAGGAAGTCGTCCCGCAACATCGCCACGACAGCACCGTCTCGGGGCTGCAGCTGCTCGGACTTCACGCTGCAACCTCGAAAGCGCCGCGTGTCATAGAGCCCTGAAATCCGCGCGAGGCTCTCTCTGGACCACAAAGCAAAGAGTGGCGCGAGGCGATGGACGCGGAGATCAAGGCACTAGAATCACGCGACACTTGGGTGCTCGTCGACCGCGCAGCAATCAAGGGCGCAAGGGTCCTCTCGGGGAAGTAGGTCTTCCGCGGGAAGACCGCAGCGGATGGGACGATCGAGCGATTCAAGACGCGCTGGGTGGTTCGCGGCTATGACCAGAGGCATGGGATCGACTTCGACCAGACATTTGCCCCAGTCAGCCGCCACACCTCCGTCCGCATCCTGCTCGCCATCGCAGCTGCAAGGCACCTGCCACTCCGACAAATCGACGTGAAGAATGCGTTCCTGTACGCGCTAGTAGACGCCGTGATCTACGTGGAGCAGCCACACACCTACGGCGAAGGGGATTCGCGTGTGTGTCAGCTGCGCAAGTCTCTCTACGGCATCAAGCAGGCTCCGAGGCTGTGGCAGCAGTACCTGCACAACATTCTGCTTGAAATCGGGTTCAAGCAAATGCCGCACGATCCAGGGATGTACCGCCGCGATTTCCGCGGCAAATAAATTCTCCTCACAGTGTACGTCGACGACTTGCTCTACACAGGATCAAACAACGAGCTTCTCGAGCAGTTCGAGAAGGCCTTGGCGGGGCGCGTCGACATCACGTGCAACTACGAGGTGAAGCAGTTCCTAGGCCTCAACATCTCCTACGCTCCTGAGGCCATTCACCTTTCAGCGGCTAAGTACGCAGAGGAGTTAGGGAAGCGGTTCAACATCTCACCGGCATCTCTCTCAACTCCCTATCGCACCCCCGGACCGAACCACAAACCTGACAACAAAGCCCTATCCCCTGCTGGGATTCAGACTTACCAGCAGCAGTTGGGATGCCTCCTCTTCGCCTCTGTCACCTGCAGGCCAGACCTCTCGTACATCGCCAGTCAGCTGGCGCAGTACTCACGCAAACCAACGGCCGAGAATCATCTGGACCTGCAGCGGGCTCTCCAATTCTTCGTTTCAACGCCCAAGATTGGGCTGTGCTACTCAACTGCACCAACCCCATCCTTCAACCTCGTCGGCTACGTGGACGCCGATCACGCAGCAGACCCTGATAATCGACGGTCCAGGACCGGCTTCCTGTTCCGACTCGAGCCATCAGGACCAATCTCCTGGAATTCACAGAAGCAGGAATTGGTTGCCCTGTCATCCGCCGAAGCGGAATTCATCGCAGCAACCGCAGCAGTTCGCGAGGGCCTCTATCTGCAGGAACTTCTGCAAGAGGCGAAAATTCCGACTTCGCCGACCTTCCGCCTTCACTGCGACAACCAGAGCGCGATTCGTATCGCGAACAAACCTGGTTTCGTCAACCGCACCAAGCACATTGCGCTGCGGTACTTCTTCGTGAAGGACGAGGTGGACAAGGGCAAGGTCAACTTGACCTACTGCCCGACGGGTGACATGGCAGCAGACTTCCTCACGAAGCGACTGCCACGCCAGCAGTATCAGCACTGCTCCAAACTCAGCGGCGTGGTCAAGCAGGTCAAGTCGAGCTACGGCCAGGAGTGAAGGGGGGTGTTACGAATAGTAATACTTGATATTACTGTGCACTCCTCACCGCAGCAAAGAGAAGCACGCAGTAACGAGAATGAACGCGAAGCGTCAGACGGTTGGAATTGACTCGAAGCGTCGGACAGTTGGGACGCATCTGGACCGTCGGAAGCAGACGGCATCGGGCAGCTGCAGGCAAGGTGGTTTTGGCGGGAACAGTTACGAAACTGTACGCGCCGCACGGTTGGGAATGAATTTGAATAAGGGAATGTACCCCTTAGAGTACATGGCTAGTTAGGTCGTTTCGTATTCCCTTGTACTCTTATTTATATCATTTTGTTTGCATGTTTTTATCATCTCAAGCATTTACATTCACTCTGCTATTGAGGTCAAGGGCCCACCAACTATTTCACTGCGTGCGAACCTTCCTGGGTAGATCCCGGGCTACGATCAATTTATGATCGCAGCAAGCACTGTGTCTCATTGTGGTGGAAACGTTTGATACTTGGGTGTAATGCGGTCTTAGAGCGGTACATCACTTTTATGACGCCTTAACCGATGACATGTCTTCGCAGAAATGCACCCTTTGTTCATTGTTCTTATATTTGATTTTCTTCATATTAATTTTGCACACACAACTTAAATTAACTGATTTGAAGTGGTAATAAGAATGATTGGCCTACGAGTATTTTTTTGTGCTCGCAGGATGTAGGATGACTGACATGTGAATTCATTTTACCTTTTTTTTTCTGTGCATGTTCATAAGATACATTCCCGAGTACAGTATCGCCAATGCCTATAGATTTGGCGATTGCTGCATTTCAGGATACTGTACTGTATTGGAAAGCTGCCCACATCAGCCAAATCTGGATAGCTGGTTTGCTTTCTGATAGGGTGACTCTGTCGGCTTCCTATCTTGTGGCAGTCACACACAAACATGTCTGGCAAGATCTTTCCGACTTCAAAAGAAGAAGAAATCTTGATAAGGGCCACACATTTAGCACAGAAAGAGCCCCATATTCGGCCGAAATGAAATCATATTATGCTTGAGATTTGTTTTTAGTACTTTTCGTGCCTCTTCGCATCAGCGTCCCGACGGTACTTGCTGCCTGTTTTTTGCTCCCGCTCACAGCTTAGCCAAGCAATTGTCAACATCTCGAAACAAGAGTTGTACTGTACAGTTTGGGAAACTCTCAAGCTGGTTCACATTTCGCCCTTATTTTTCTCAGCATTCAGCGACATGGCAACCGTTTTGGCTGATAGCGCGACAAGACATGCTGCTTCGCAGTTCCGTTTGTGTCTTGTTGTAACAAACGAAGCATCAGTTGTACAGCAAGGCAAGCCGCGTTAGCACATGCGCTTCCCCCAACCCAATCCAACCCACCCAATCCAATCCTCTCCCTTACTACTCCCTCCACTGCCCTCGTTTGGGCACCCACAGAACACAACACCCACCCCCAACAACCTCGACAGACATGTGCGGGCGGGGCAGCATTCACGTGGGAAAGCAAGCCACCTCTCAGGATTAACGACCAACAGACTTCCTAACTCACTCCACCTGCTCTCCCAAACCACAGTCAAGGGTAGTGGTAGGTAGCAAGCCGTCAAAAGTAACGGAGTGCTCCGTACGTACTTCTGAGACTATCCAGCCGAATACCGCAGCCTCTTTCCCTCATTCAAACCTTCACGATTTACAACACAACATTTTCTGCCATCATCTCACCACGACCATTTCCACATTCAACCAGTGGTAGGATTGATAAGCTGCTAGCATTCTTCGGAAGTACGTGCCGCCGAATGTTCTGACCGCATCTCTGAGACAACTATTTTGGCGGAGCGCAAGAAATGGAACACAGAAACCTTGTACCGCTCGTCCTTTTACTGCTCGTCGTTAACGCGTCAGTGTCGTCAGCAGACGTCTTCTCGCCAGATTCATATGGCTCACATTTCAAGAGTCACATGCAAAAGTTGATCGGGTTGCCCCATTCAAGACACCAGAAGGTATCGCGCATCCTAAGAGAAGACACTCTGACGTCGGACGTGCAGAGCTCTACGAGCGATTCCGGCAATGGCGATGAGCGGAATGAGCGTCTGCTGCTCGACACGGCGACGAAGCTCGGTCTATCGGCGCCGCCGCTTAACTCGGGGCCGAGCATGGCGACGGTGAACATGTCGTTCTACCGCTGGGAGAGCGTCACGCCGCCACCTGTCTTCGACTGGCGCACGACTACCTCCATTACGCCCATCCAGACGCAGTTTCAGGTGGGTGCTTGACAGCGCCGCTGCCGCTTGGTGTGGCCCTTTGGTTTTCAAAATTCCTTTTTTTCACAAATGTGTCTTCGTTCAGACTCTATTTCCGTGTTCTTGCTGTATCTTGCATTTCCATAAGATAACATACTCAGCAGTGGCGTCTCTCGACCTATTTGTGGACGCGGCTCGCTGAAGCTGCTGGATAAATTATGTTTCCAAAAACTCACGGAGAGTCTCCGTCTCCCTTCACGTTCTTTTTCGCAGTGCTCAAGCTGCTGGGCGATCGCAGCCATCGATTCCGTCGCCATGATGTGGTCCATTGCCAACAACGCCACCGCAGAACAGCTGTCGCCGCAGCAGGTGTGCGACTGCGCGACGAAGCAGTGCTGCCAGGGCGGGTGGCCCGAGTGGGCCTTCTCCTACGTGCTCTTCAACGGCGGCATCACCTCCAACGCCAACTACCCCTACCTCGCTTACGATTCCGCCACGTGTCTGCTCGACACAACCATGCCGTCCACGGCGCAGATCACGGGGTGGGAGCTGGTGCCGGCATTCAACGCCATGGCGCTCATGAAGGCTGTGACCAAGCAGCCTGTCGTCGCGTTCCTTAGCGCTTCGTCCACGGATTTTGTGGTACGCTTCCTGGTCCCTTCTCTCTCTGATTACGAATCGCGTCGCACGTGGTTCTTTTTTGCTCTATATTTTCGATCGATTCTTACCCGTTCCGTCTCCTCACATCTTCGATGCTGAGTAGGTAAGACGCAAGTCGTCACGACGTCAGTTGATGGTGTCTCTTGAAGTCTCTAGCTCCACGCATTCAACACGTCAATGCTTTTCCGCGGCCTTGCTTCCATCGTCAATACTTCTCTGTCCCGCCATTGAACCATTTTTTCCCAATCTTCGTCTTATCCTCTTACCTCCGTTTCTCGATGTTTCTCATCCTTCGTTGCCGCAGATGTACAAGAGCCGCGACGTGCTCAACATTTACAATGGGCTGTGCACGGTGGAGGTTAACCACGCGGTGGTGGTGGTGGGCTTTAACTACACGGGGCCGGACCTCAAAGGCAGCTACTGGATCATCAAGAACTCGTGGTTCGAAACGTGGGGCGACCACGGCTATATGTACCTCGCCATGACGCCCGACGTGCGCGGGAAATGCGGGATTCTCTCGTAAGTACCACAATCCCGTCGTATCGACAACGCGCAATCCTCGTGTAGGCTCGCATACGATTTCTCCTTGCAACATAGGCTTGCACCGCCTCGTCAACCAGCACTCGCCGTTTTCAGCAACGTTTTCCGGAGCACCCCTTTTGCTCCCCGCCAGCGTCGCGTTCGCTCACCTCCCCCACGGCGTGCCACCTCTTCCTCTCTTTCCGCGCAGGACCCCCGCCATGTACCCCGTCTATTTTCCATCCGGGATGCAGCCGGCGCGCTTCTCGTCCGACAAGCGCGGCAAGTGGAATATAAAAAAGGTGGACGACCTCTCGTCGTCGCTCTTCTCCTCCACCCTCTCTCTCGACACCACCTCAACCACAACCACTACCACAACCTCCGCTACGGTTGCGTCGTTCACCGACCCGACGATCACCGATACTTCATCCCTGCTAATTGGATCCACCACTGCTTCCACAGCGTGCGTGGGGATGATCAACCCGTGCGGCGGCGGCACTTGCTACATGAGCGGTGGAGTTCCGCGGTGCAACTGCAGTGCGCTGGCGAATTTTGTTGAGATGCCAGGAGTGCCCACGTCCAAGTGCGTGCCGCGAAGCCCCTGCACGACGGATCCTGTGAATCCCTGCGGTGGCGGAACGTGCAGCGACGTGGGCGACGGGACGTACACTTGCTCGTGCTCGACGGGTTACGCTGTCGGTGCAGCTGTCGACGGTTCGCCAACGTGCATGCCTGCGGCTGGACTCGCGAAATCCTATGTTACCCTTCCTGGCGACAACTGCACAGCCGTCGCGACAGCTTTCAACATATCGACCACCACGCTGACAAACCTCAACACTTTCATCAACTGCTCCGTTACAGAATACCTCCCTCCCGGAATTGCACTTACAGTATCAGGAATTGTCACTTCCTTATCCTCATATTGCACCAACACATACACTGTCCGACCTTCCGATACCTGTTTGTCAATCGCGAATGCTTACTTCAATGGCTCACTGACTTCATTTACTGCAATCAATCCTGGCGTGTCGTGTAAGCGCCTGTTCAAGTCGCAGCAAGTATGTCTTCAGATGATTTCTGCATCTTCTACATCTTCAGCAACACCATGTGGGCAAAGTGTCCCGGTGGCCATGGGGGATACGTGTGCTTCGCTCTCCAATAAATATGTCATCAGCACGTCGAGTTTCGTGAAGTAAGTTCAACATATTTGCTCTCTTTTTTTTTTTTGTTGTTGTTTGTTCTTGTGTGTGTGTGTGTGTGTGTGTGTGTGTGTGTGTGTGTGTGTGTGTGTGTGTGTGTGTGTGTGTGTGTGTGTGTGTGTGTGTGTGTGTGTGTGTGTGTGTGTGTGTGTGTGTGTGTGTGTAGTTTGTTTGTTTGTTTGTTTGTTTGTTTTTTGTTTTAATCAGTCTTCAACTAACTTCCAATCTCCTGCCCACAACTATCTGCAACTTTCTACTTTTGAGCAACATTTTGTGCCCGCCGGCCCCTCCTCATAATACACATTTTCTCTTCCCTTTGTCTTTGCTGCAGCCTCAACCCGGGTATCAACTGCAACAACCCACTCATTGTTGGAAGTTACGTGTGTGTGGCGCCGAAGTCATCCGCTGTAAGTTCTCAGAGTCTGTCAGCGTCACCACCAACACCAACCTGCTTTCACTATCACCCTCCTTGGCTAACACTTGATTTGTGTGCCACTACACTTGTCTCCATTATCTCTCCTGTGTGGTATTGCCTCTTCTCCATCTCATTTCTGTCTCCCACTCCCCCCACCAATTTCCCTTTCCTGTTTGCAGACCACCATCAATTGCACGTCATGGTACCGGGTGATGCAGGGCGACACATGCCCCTCAATCTGGAATGGAGCCAACCTCACCATGTCCATGTTCCTCGCCATCAACCCGGGCATCCAGGTACTTCTTTCTCTGAAGCTTTTCATATCACCACATACCTTTCGCATACGTGCATACCATCATACTCCATTTGGGAAATTACCATTGCTTACCAACCTGCATACCACACCATACTGTGCCAGCCTCCTTACTTCTCTCTTCCTTGCTGCTCCTTCTCCCCCTTGCAGTGCCAGGCCCCCTACCTTGGCATTGGCCAGCAGGTCTGCATCGACTCACCCATCCTCGCCACCATGCAGCGATCTCCCAACGTCTCCTACTCCTTGTACACTGTCCGACCCGGCGAAACCCTCGCCGATATCTCCTCCATCTACGCGCCCCGCTGCACGCCCACCTCCATTGCACCTGTCGCCATAGCTGCTGCGAATTTCATCGTGAACGCATCAGCTCCGCTTGTTAATGGCACGCAGCTGATCATCCCTTGTATTGGCCGCATCGGTATAGTCGACTGCGGTTGCGCAGCATCTCTCCAAGTGTGCGGGGCTGACATGGTGACCTACCCATCCTACTGCGACGCGCTCTGTAACTATGCCGTCCCGCTCATCGCAGATGTACCGTGTGTTGGCGGATGTGTCAGCGCATGCTTCAACCGCATGGGCCTGGCTCCTCTCTCTGGCTATGGCTGTACCCAGTCCATCTGCCCGTACCCCTCATGGCCGTTTGACGCTCCTTCAGACTGCTCGATTATAGTTGGCAATGTCACGGGTCCCTGCTGCACCTACAGGAGGAATGCTTGCGATCAGTCGTGCACTGATACTGCAGCTACGCTCGGGGGTACAACCTCTCAACGCACCGCCAACTACAACTCGTGCTTCAGCCAGTGCATGTGCTGCACTGCCAATTCCTGCGGCGCTGGCTCTTGCAAGGCCCCCTCGTCCTGCTGGTCGGCCAGTCCCCGGCAGTGCATCTATGCCAACTTCCAGTACACGTGGAACTGCACTTATTTCCCTGCTGATAGTCCTCTTCCTTAGCCAGGTCCTGCACCCTACAGCTTTTTGTTTTTTACATGACTGCCTTTTGTTCTTTACTAGCTAGATAATAAAAGCCCTGTATATTAACATAGGAAGCCTGATTTTTGTACATTGAACAGATGGTTTTGTTACCTTTTTTTTATGCACGATGTGAAGATTTGATCTGGTCTGTGCTTCAGTAAGTGCGGGCTCCCTAATCCCTAAACTCGAAATTTACCCTGGGTATATCTATGATTCCGCACACTCTCTAAAACTCATAACATAAGCCTTAATGTTGCCGCAATAACGAGTAACACACTTGTCCTCGATTGGACGTTGCAATTTGAAACTTCGCCGCCTGCCTCGCTGGCAAAGCACCGCCGCAAACTGGGGTCAGTGGTTTGCCAATCAGGTTCGCGGGAGATTTTCGATTTATCGGACGGTCAGCAACACCTCGAATCTGGCTCTGGTGGGACCATATCTTTTGCTGCGGCCTCCCGGGCCTTGGCACGGGAGCTGGAAGGTGAGCTGGAAGGTTGAGCAGCGAGCCCAACTGGGCTGACCACGTGCTTCAAACGAGGATCACACTTTTTTCGCCGAGTCCCCCACAACGCATCTTCCCCCACACAAGCATTTTCCGCCTTCCTGTGTGCCAATCACCAACCTGTTTGCTGATCCTTGAGCCTTTTTCGCCTTTTTGCTGAGGAATCAAGTCAGGCAGCCTCGTGCTTCGTTCTTCGTGGGTTTGATCCCGTTGCGAAATATCATCAGCCATGGCTACTTTCGCAGAAGCCCCTGCTGGTAACCCCGATGCTGGAGCTAAGATCTTCAAGACTAAGTGTGCTCAGTGCCACGTGGCAGAAAAGGGTGGTGGTCACAAGCAAGGTAGGACGATCAGTTAAGGAAAGAATCTTTTGACCTTTGTCGGTCACACGCGAGCCTTACGCGAGCCATCGTGGCGTTGTTTATCGCAGGTCCGAATCTGGCCGGGCTTTTCGGCAGGCAGTCGGGAACCATCGAGGGCTACTCGTACTCAAATGCCAACAAGAACGCTGCAGTCCTTTGGGGAGAGGAAACCCTTTACGACTACCTTTTGAACCCTAAGAAGGTAGGCTTTTCCTTGTAGAATGGCCTCTTTCGTTTTGGTTTACAGCTCTCTTTTTGTTGCAGATCCGTTGATCGAACCTGAGCTCTATGTGTTTATGATCCATCATCCACTTTTCCGTTCCCCGCAGTACATTCCCGGCACGAAGATGGTCTTTCCAGGACTGAAGAAGCCCCAGGAGAGAGCGGATCTGATTGCTTTCTTGAAACAAGCCACTGCATGAAAAGACTATGTACTCCCTCCCATTCTTTCAAAGATCGATTTGACTTGACCAATTTCAGGGCGTTCCGTTGCCGGTAAAACTGGTATACTATCAATAAAGAGCAAGCTGATCAGGGGCTCTATACCAAGAGGAGCTTTAAATATCCCTTTCAACTCTGTAATCATGGTGGGTGGGAGGCATGGCAGCCATGGTACAATGGGCTGGTCCACCACATGTTTCACTAGGGAACACAAGGAGTTCTTGGATAGTGGAATGACAAGACATGCTTCAAAACAAGTGTGCGAACAAACAGCCTTCAATCTTCAGGCTGACCAGTGACCTAAAAACCAGCACTGAGTCACGCGCAATAGCGCACAATGAATTGCACAAAGCCCTAAGCTATAAGCTACAACTCCGGAGGACATTCTTCTGCAAGCACCGTGAGTGTGTTGATGTCAGATCCCATCATAATTGCCCTGTCATTGGCTGCCATGTGGCGGATGATCTTGTAAACTGTCTCAATCTGAAAGCAAGGGATTACAATGGTGTGACCAGAATCAAAGGCAGAAGACGGGCAATTTGAGTGAAAGCATAGGGCCCATATCAGTGAGACAACTGGGAACAGACAACCAACAAGGTGATGCCATATCCTAACCCAACCCATCTGCAATGCCTTATGTGTTCAGCAAGCCTGATCGCCATGCTGTTAGATGTGATATGTGCCAACTACATGCATTGCGTGATGCGTGCCCCTCATTATGTGTGGCAAATGCCTTTCTTCATGCAGCTACGTGTAAAAGCGCACATTTGGCCCAAACAAAGAACTCATATGCACACTCATCAAGAACTCTGCCACTCACTGTTAACTGCACATTTGGCTCATCATTTGAACCCAAGCATCTGCACTCTCACCTGTGTTTCAGCATCTGCACTCTGACCTGTGTTTCAGCATCTGCACTCTGACCTGTGTTTCAGCATCTGCACTCTCACCTGCGCCTGTGCATGAGCACGCTTGGCAATCTCCTGGATGGTAAGAGCTTCCACTGGGTGCCTGCAGCTGAGAACACAAACACAGGTGTGGCAGAGTCATCTATGAGACACACGAGACAAGAGTGAGTGAGAGTCCACAGGACTGCTGGATGGTAAAAGCTTCCACTGGGTGCCAGCAGCTGAGAACACAAACACGGGTGTGGTAAAGTCAAGCATGAGAAACACGAGACAAGAGTGAGTGAGTGACAGTCCACAGGAGTGCTGCTAAATGGTAAGAGCTTCCACTGGGTGCTTGCAGCTGAGAATACAAACACGGGTGTGGCAAAGCCACAAAGGCACATGTGAGAATCACAATGAGATGAGAGCGACTGATAGTGAGGAGTGTTGGATGGTGGAGCTTCCACTGGGTGCCTGCAGCTTAGAGCAGAAACGCGAGTTTGACAGCAATAAATACAATGACACAAAAGTGAACGAGTGACAGTCTTGAGGAGTGTTGGATGGCGGAACTTCTAGTTTGTCCTTGCATGCAGCTGCTATGGGAGCAGGGCAAATGCAGTAACCATGATGACGGGGAATGAAGATGACTATAAGTCACAGTCCAGTCCCCACAACCTTGAAAGCTGTATAGGGAGTGGCCAATGGTGGATGACTTGAGATGAGAAAAACACACTCGCCCCTCAACTTCACCCTTTTACCTTAACAACCACCAAATTTTGCAGCCATGGTATATAGCAGCAAGTAACCACCCACCTCCCTCCCAACCCTCCCCCCCCCCGTTTTCCCAGCTGCCTTCTCCCCCCCCGACCAATCCACGTGGCTGGCACTAATGATCACAGCCTTCCCTCTCGCTCACCTCGCCTCGTTGATCACTGCCTGCACTCTCTTCTGCAGCGTCAGCACCTCTGCTGCTGCCTTCTTGCCCGCCTCCACTCCTGCCGGCACAGCAATGCATCAGGGGCATCAGTTATGGTTTACGAGGCATGGCACACGGGGCATCGGGCATGGGGTATGGGAATGGGTACGGCGCACGGGGAACAGGGCACGGGGCACGGGAGATAGGACATGGAGCACGGGGCAAACATGAGGCACACGCACCTGGTTGGTGGTGCGCGTTGACGTTGATGAGTGAGGCATAAAGCATGAAGGTGCATGAGGCATGAGGCCATGATGACACATGGGACAAAGGTAAACACGAGATACACGCACCCACGCACACCTGGTTGGTGGTATGCGTTGACGTTGATGAGTGAGGCATACAGCCCCATGGCACGCTCATACAGTGCGATGGAAGAGAGAGCTACGGGGCATGCATAGGATAGACATGACAAACACGCAACACGCACTTGCTTTATCAGTGCTCTTTTGATCAAGGACAATGCTCACCTGGTTGGTGGTACGCGTTGACGTTGATGAGTGTGGCATCAGCCCCGTGGCACGCTCATAGGGCGTGATTGGAGAGAGAGCAACGAGGGGCACGGGGTCATCGTGGCGCATGAGGCAAAGGCAAACATGAGACACACGCACCCACACACGCACCTGGTTGGTGGTATGCGTTGACGTTGATGAGCGAGGCATACAGCCCCGTGGCACGCTCATAGAGGGCAATAATGGCGCCCACCGTTGCTGCATCCACGTCCTTTATGGTCAGCGTGATGGACTCGCGCTTGTTCGCATACAGGGCCGAGCGCGTGCCCTGGGAAGGGAAGGGGTGTTGGGGGGGCGCGGGGAGAGAGAAGGGTGAGGGGGCGAGGAAAATGGTGAGGGAGCACCTCCTGGGGAAGGAGAGTTGCATCCCAGTGGCAGTGGCTCCCAGTGGCTCCCAGTCCCACATCTCCCAAGTACCCTCTTTGCCGCATTCACATCGCACCCACTTCCCATGCCCAAAACCCCCTTACCCACATGCACCCTCCTCTTCCCCTCCCCCTCTCTACCCACCTGAAATTCACCCATTCCTCTCCCCCACACGCACCTGCAGCAGCCCAAAGAGGTAGTCACCGCACGTGACCCCCGGCTCCAGCTCCCAGTCGCGCCCGCTCTGCCTGTCTCTGACTCCCCACCCACATGCACCCTTCTCTTCTCCTCTGCCCTCTACCCACCTGCACCGCAACCCCTCCTCTCCCCCCCCTCCTCACCTGCAGCAGGCCGAAGAGGTAGTCACCGCACGTGACCCCCGGCTCCAGCTCACAGTCCCTCCCACCCTGCCCGTCTGTGACCCCCTCACTCACGTCCTACAAGTAGTACCCCTCCTTTCCGCATTCCCCACATGCACCCTTCCCCATCCCGAACCCTCCATTCCGCACCTGCAGCAGCCCGAAGAGGTAGTCACCGCACGTGACGCCCGGCTCCAGCTCCCAGTCGCGGCCGCTCTGCCGGTCTGAGAGCACCTCGATGAACGTGGCAAAGAAGTTGGGCACGCCCTCGCGCAGCTGCTGGATGTAGCTGCGGGTGGGGGGGGAGGAGATGGGGATGGGTGGGGAAGGGGGTTAGAGGGGGGAAGGGGGTTAGAGGGGGGAAGGGGGTTAGAGGGGGGAAGGGGGTTAGAGGGGGGAAGGGGGTTAGAGGGGGGAAGGGGAGGGAAGCTGGGCACACCCTCGCTCAACTGCTGGATGTAGCTGTGGAAGGGGAGGAGGGGGGGGGAGAGTTGGAGAAATGGGGATGGGGTTTGGAACAAGGGGGTGAGAAGGGGGTGTGGGAAAGGAGGGCGTGGGGAATGGGGCATGCGGAAGGGGGCATGGGGAAAGGAGGCATGGGGAAGGGGGTGTGGGAACGGGAGTGTGGGGAAGGGGGCGAGGGGAAAGCGGCGAGGGGAAGTTGCGGAGGGAGGAGAGAGAAAATTGGTTGTCGGGTGTTGAGGAAGCACTTGCAAGAAAATATGGGGGAAGAGAGGGGGTGGAGGAATGAGGTGGAATATAAAAGGCGGAAGGCGGGTCCGCTGCAATGCCAAGGAAAATGGCTGAAGATCGCGATACTCTCCCACCCACCCACCCAGGCAACCCCACCCACCCGCCCAGCCCGCCAACCCACCCACCCATCCCCACCCACCCATCCCCACCCACCCATCCCCACCCACCCATCCCCACCCATACCCGCGTATCCCCTGAAGGCACTCACGCGTGTTGGTCTGTGCTGCCCTTGTTGCCGTACACTGTCAGGCCCTGGTTCACTTGCATGTAATGACAGCCAACCCCACCTGCCCATCGTCACCCATCCCCACCCATCCCCACAGGCACTTACGCGTGCTGGTCTGTGCTGCCCTTGTTGCCGTACACTGTCAGCCCCTGGTTCACCTGCGAGTAGCAACAGCCAGCATGCACGCAAGGGGTGGGACGCGGTTGCAAGGGGTGAGGTGGGATGAACTTGCTGTGGACAGCGCTGTGCAGGCGTGGGTCATCTGTAAACACAGCAGCACTCAACATGTAAGCCACAGCCCTGAGCCCGCGGCACACAGAGCACAGCACAGACATACAATGCAATGCAAAGCACGGAGTGAAGACTACAGGCTTGCAGTCCAGCAGAACAGCTGTCTCTCACTCGCCCTGTCAGGCAGGCACTCATCCATGTGCCATCAAGATCAAACCCCCTGCCCACCGACCATCTCCATGATGAGCTGCTGCAGGTGAGGAGGGCTTGAGGGCGCTGCTGCTGCAAGGAACCCTTGAAAGGCAGCACTCACCCGCTTGCCATCGAGGTCAACCTACTTCCCCACGGATTCCATTATCAGCTGCTGCAGGTGAGGAGGGCATGTAAGAGAGAGACACACCCTTGAATCCCCTCAACAGGCAACTGGCAAGCACCACCACTCACCTGCTTGCCATCAAGGTCAAACTCTTTTCCCAGCGACTCCATGATGAGCTGCTGCAGAGGGAGACACACCCTTCATTCCCCCTCCATGGGCACGGCAAGCACTAGCACTCACCCGCTTGCCATCGAGGTCGAATTCTTTTCCCAGCGACTCCATGATCAGCTGCTGCAGGTAGCGGCTGAAGAGAGAAAGACACACCCTTGAATCCCATCATTAGGCAACTGGCAAG